CATAGTTTTCATATAGTAGATTCAGACTTTCCCATACCATGTGATGGAATAATAGGTATAGACTTCATGAAAAAATTGAATTGCCAAATAGACTTAAAACATGAAAATGATTGGCTCATACTGAGACCAAATAATCTTCGTTTCCCCATCAACATTCCAATTCAACACACTCTACATAACAACTTAACAATTTTACCAGTCCGCTCCGAAGTTTTCCGAAAGATTGCTATAAATACAGCAACCAAATACATAGTCATACCAAACCAAGAGATCCAAAATGGAGTATACATAGAGAGTTTCCTATTTCAGATTCTCGAAACACCTTCGTCCGAATCCTAAATACAACAAACAAAAATGCAATTATTAAACTAGATGCCATCCAATTCGAGTCATTAGATGATTACGACATAGTAAATAAAAATTTTCTCCCACAGTTCAAAACCATTCTCACAGAACTATGCACCAAATACAGTGACATATTCGGAACAGAAACCGAATCGATATCAACTAATAATTTTTATAAACAAAAGATAAAAGTGAAAGATGATGAACCGGTATATATTAAAAATTATAGAATTCCCCACAGTCAAAAAGAGGAAGCAATAAAACAAGTGGACAAACTAATAAAAGACAAAATAGTAGAACCCTCAGTCTCAGAATATAACAGTCCATTATTAATCGTACCGAAAAAATCATTACTAAATTCAGATAGTAAAAGATGGCGCCTAGTGATTGACTACCGCCAAATAAACAAAAAAGTGTTATCAGACAAATTCCCACTGCCCAGAATAGATGATATTCTTGATCAATTAGGTAGAGCCAAATACTTTTCATGTCTAGATCTGATGTCAGGCTTTCATCAAATAGAGCTTGAAGAAAGTTCAAGAAATATAACGTCCTTTTCAACGAGCAATGGCTCCCATCGCTTCACGCGATTACCATACGGTTTAAAAATAGCGCCCAATTCTTTTCAAAGAATGATGACAATTGCATTTTCAGGTGTCGAACCTTCTCAGGCATTCTGACAAAGGTATTTTACTAGACGACAAGAAATATGACGTCATAGAGAAATACCCAGTCCCAACGGACGCAGATAGCGCTAGACGATTCGTTGCATTCTGCAATTATTATAGACGTTTTATTAAAAAATTTTCCGATCATTCATGCCACATAACAAGATTATGTAAAAACGAGGGGGAACGTTGTGAGTTGCTGCGGACACCGCAACTCTACGGTTATACCCGATACTTAGTCAGTATGGCTCTCCGCCGCCAGAGGGCGCTAATATTAAGCGACACGACAAAGAGTGCGTGCGAGAGAGACAGAAAATCAGTCTGAGCGTGACGTCGGGCGCTGCGTAGCCACTGCAAATTGATTTGTTCCTTTTGGCTATAAAAATGATCTGATCTGATCCAGATTCAGCAATCTAATAGATATGGTTATTATCTATGATTCTGCGTTTTTAGTTTTCTCAAATCTGCAATATTGTGGATGCAACAGATTTTCGTCCTTTGTGGGGGCGGATGGGGGTGGGGCGAAATTCTGAGATATACGTTTTATAGTGACATCTTAAAGGAGTGTGTGCACCAAATTTGGTTACTCTAGCCTTAATAGTCTCTGAGATTTGTGGTTGCCTCAGATTTTCGTCCTTTGCGGGGGCGGAAGGGGGTGTGGCGAAATTTGGACAGGAAACGGTCAAGGTCCGATATCACAGGAGTGTGGATACCAAATTTGGTTGCTCTGGCTTTTATAGGTTCTGAGATCCTTGAACTCATATTTTGCAATTGGCAAAACCGACCATGAAACCTGTGTGTTAGAGTGAGACAGAGCGAGAAAGAGTGAAATTGTTTTCGTGATTCTGGCTGTAATAATTATACGATCTGGTTCAGATGCACTCTAGAAGATATAGTCATCTTCTACGATTCTGCGTTTTTAGTTTTCTCGTATCGTCGAAATTGTGGATGCCACAGATTTTCGCCCTTTGTGGGGGCGGAAGTGGGCGGGGCAAAGTTTTGAAATATTTTTGTAGCAGTGACATATCACAGAAGTCTGGATCCAAAACATCGTTGCTCTAGCTCTTATAGTCTTTGAGCATTAGGCGCTGAAGGGGACGGACAGACGGACAGACGGACGGACGGACAGACAGACAGGGCTCAATCGACTCGGCTATTGATGCTGATCAAGAATATATATACTTTATAGGGTCGGAAACGATTCCTTCTGGACGTTACACACATCCACTTTTACCACAAATCTAATATACCCCAATACTCATTTTGAGTATCGGGTATAATAATGTTAGCTTCGAATGGACAGATAAATGCCAGAAAGCATTCGAATATTTAAAAATACAATTGATGAAGCCAACCTTATTGCAATATCCAGATTTTAACAAAGAATTTTATATAACAACGGATGCAAGTAAACAAGCATGTGGAGCTGTTCCGACACAAAACTATAACGGAACCCAGCTACCAGTAGCGTATGCATCAAGATCTTTTAAGAAAGGCGAAAGTAATAAAAACACAACAGAACAAGAATTAGCGGCAATACATTGGGCAATAAATCATTTTCGACCATACATTTATGGCAAACACTTCACTGTCAAAACTGACCACAGGCCACTTACATATTTATTTTCAATGGTTAACCCCAGATCTAAACTAACACGTATGAGACTAGATCCAGAGGAATATGATTTCACTGTGGAGTATCTCAAGGGAAAGGACAATCATATAGCAGATGCGTTATCAAGAATAACCATTACAGACCTAAAAAATATTCAGACAACCAACAAAGTAATGAAAGTCACTACAAGAAATCAAAGTAGACAAAAATCCTGCGCAGGTCCAAACAAAGAATTGCAAAAGCATTCGATCTCTTCAAAGCCCAATATATGTATACAACGTCATACAAAATGATGATGTTAAAAAAGTAGTGACCTTACATTTAACTTCGACTAAATGTTTCCTCAAGCATGGAAAGAAGATAATTGAACATTCGACTTAGGTCAATTCTTCCAAAGGCTTGAAAAAGAAGCCGGTATAAATAAAATCAGCCAACTTAAAATGGCAACGAGCGAAGAAATCTTTGAGAACATTTCAATAGATTCTTTTAAAAATAAGGGCAATAAAATACTAAAGAATTTAAGAGTAGCGCTACTCAAGCCGGTGACCACAATAAAAGAAAATAAAGAAAAAGAAGAGATATTGTCTACATTCCATGACGATCTAATACAAGGAGGTCATACAGGTATAGCTAAAACATTAGCAAAGATAAGAAGGCATTATTTTTGGAAAAACATGACACGTCAAATAACAAATTATGTGAGAAAGTGTCCAAAATGCCAAATGTCCAAAACGACTAAACATACCAAGACCCCAATGACTATAACACAAACACCAAACATGGCTTTTGATAGAGTAATTGAGGATACGATCGGTCCACTTCCTAAATCAGAACAAGGAAATGAATATGCAGTCATCTTAATCTGTGACCTAACAAAATACCTTGCTGCCATACCAATACAGAACAAAAGTGCAAAAACAGTAGCTAAAGCTATATTTGAAGATTTCATTCTAAAGTACAGTCCAATGAAGACGTTCATTACGGACATGGGAACAGAATATAAAAATTCAATAATTGAAAATTTATGTAAATACTTAAATATTCAAAACATAACATCGACTGCACATCATCACCAAACCGTAGGAACCGTGGAGCGAAGCCACAGAACATTCAATGAGTTCATACGCTCATACATCTCAACCGATAAAACAGATTGGGATGTATGACTACAATACTTCGTATATTGTTTTAGCACGACACCCTCTATGGCACATGATTATTGTCCATATGAGTTAATTTTCGATAAGACTTCAAACTTGCCAACACATTTTAATAGTATAGATAGAATAGACCCCCTATACAATATAGATGATTACGCTAAGGAATCAAAATTTAGGTTAGAACAAGTCTATAAAAGAGCCAGATTAATGTTAGAATCAAATAAACAAAAACTAAAAATGACAATCAAGCCTTCAATTTCAAGTTAAAAACAGGAGATCAGGTTTTATTAAAAAATGAAACAGGTCATAAGTTAGATTTCAAATACACCGGACCGTATACAGTAGACGGTATAGGAGATAATGATAACATTACAATATCAGATATAAAAGATAAAAAACAAAAAGTACATAAGGATAGATTACAACTTTTTATTACATAATCATTTTACTTTATTGTATGGCCATACACAAATGGTTAATCGGATATTAATTAATTAATAAATAAATAAATAAAAAATAAAAAAAATATATACATATATATATACTTATATACACATATACAAGCATACATTTTATCAAACTTTTTTTGCTATAAATAACTTCATATATTACGTTATTTTTTTAAAAAGGGAGGTGTAGCGAACCCCGCATGTACATATGTAATACTCTGTTATATATATAAACTCTTATATATGCGCGTATATAAACACAGTGACATAAACAACTATTGTTTATGTTACACATTCCATCTGAACAGCAACATGATCTGCCTCTTGAGCGCGGATCAGCTAGCTGCCCAAACTGCTGATCAATCTTTTCCCTAAAACACAGGCAGAACCCCAACGCACTCATACTGAGGCTAAGGGTCTCTTTCAATAATCCACTTAATGCTGATCATGCATTAATATAGACTCAGGTACTCAGTGGTACTCTCTTCATAAGATGCATGGGAGAACTCCCGCTCTCCGATAAACATAAGAACAATTGTACCCTTGGCTAAGACTCAAAAATATTCCAATAAACATTCACTTATCAGAACTCAAATACAACGGACCTTCTTCTATCAAATAAAACTCTTTACAAGATATTTGGGTATTTAAAGTAATATTTAAGTATTTTAATGGCAGCACAGAGTATTAAATTCTCTTCAAAATTTAGTACGAAAGACGATAGCTGCAAAGGCACTTTTTAAATTCATTTATATACAGTTTGTAGTGTAAATATAGTAGAGTATATCGTTTATATTGAAAATTTCCGTTATTTTAGCTGTGAAAAGTTGTGCCTTGCCAGCCTTGCCAAGACAAGGATTTAGATCTTTCTCCAAAAGTGTTATAACTTGCCGAAATATGTATGCATAGACACTACAATTTGGATCTTGGCTTATCGCACTTCTCTAATACATCTTTCATTTGCAAGAAGGACTGTCCCAGGATTTTGGCGAATCTTAAATGATCTGTCGTTTGGCAGTGGCGCCAGGCAGATATAGCCAAGATGATGTCCTGTTCACGTGGGTTATAGCAGCATGCGTACCCATCATCCACAGCAGGTCCATAGCCCATAAAGGCATCATAAATCGTGGCCACCTGCGAAGTGGACATGCGAAAGTGCGAAGACTTGACGACTCCCGGCGAAGAGAAGAACTTCGGGATGGGCTCGCCGTTCTCCTGGGCCATCAGTTTCAACCCGAGCAGATGGCGATCGACACCTTTTCCTTGTAAAGCTAGCCTCGTATAGGCCTGGTGGCTGTTTACCGCCGCTCGTAGTTTGTCTTCACGCTCCTTGTTCGTGGCTTTGTCGTCCTGCATTGCGAGACAGAACGCCAAAGATTCATTGGAACACGACCGTATGGTTTCCGTACGCCCGCCTTCGAATATACGCAAATGGGCCGACTCGTATTGTGCCGCTGGCTCATTGTGCATTCTGCAAATAATTAGGCACATACTTAATTATGTTTGGTTCCAGTGAAAAACATACGAGTTTTACTTGAAGAATGCCAGCTGCAACGCCATTTGCACAAAGCTGTCAGGTCCCAGGCGCTGTTTCTTGATGAAGCCCTTTCCATAGCCTTCAAATTTGAGCACCTTCATTTGCAGTTGATACGCGAGGTTGTCAATGTTCTGCTTCGCAATGAACAACCATTGGTCGATGCATTCGTTAATAGGACAAAATTTAAGCTTCTCAGCGGGAGTGAAGTTGTCCGTAGCACCGCATTCGCCAAAGGATGGATCCTCCTTCCTAAGAAAATACGTTGGTGATATTTGTGTTTATGCGTGCTTGTATGCTTTTCGCCACTTACATCTTCTTCACCACATAGTCCATCATCATGGCTATGGGCTGGCCCTCAGCAGGAGAGTGCTCGTAGGTGAAACCGACATTTCCATTGGGATTCACAACTAATTGAATAGTCTTATCCATCCAACGGTTGCCGCTATTCACCTTACTGCCGCCACCATGGATTAGCCCCAGAATCAGTTCGTTGGTCTCTTCACTTTCTGGAAGATCGATACATTCATCTATCGATACAGTGAACAAAGCCCCTTGGATGGCGTCAAGGGTGGCTTTGTTTCCTGGAAATGATGACAATTGCTCGTAAGCCTCGGCCCAATTGTCCCGCGAGTCTGTGGTCAGAATGCCGTAGGGCACCCCAGGTGTTGTCTCCTTGGTAATAATCTCTTCCAGCTGGCTGGCCAGAAGGCGAGCGGCAATCAGCTTTCCCTCCTTATTGTAGAGTCGCATTTTGTAGAACTACAAGATAGAGGAAATCGAAGAAGGTGATACAACATTTCAGCAACAGCATTGCTTAGCTCACATGATTCTTGTGAATGACAACCACATAGTTGGAACAGGGGTTATAGACAAGCTCGTCTGTAATTCGTTTTGGGATGCGACAAGTGCCAAATACTTTGCCAAACTGTCCATTGTCCAGCTCATTTTTTCCCATCTTCACGACGGGGATCTTTTCGTCATGCACAATGTCGTTAAACTCGCCCAGGCCAAAGATAACTTTGGACGTGTATTCGACAACAGCATGCGCATCTTTGAACTTTTGCCTTGGAAAAGTCATTCCAGGGCTAACGTAGACAGTAACTGGAGACCTATATTGTAAATAAGCGGTCTTAAGCCAGCGATGAGCCAACCAATTCTTCTCTGCGCTGCCCACATCCTCCAAGAGTGTCTGTAACTTGTCGCCCTCTTTATACTTGAAGTCTTCAGTGATTTTCTTTTGAAGTTTAAGTTCTTCAGGGGTCAGCAGAGGCTCGACGGTGCTAATGAAACGATTCAACGTCTCTTCAAGCGGTAGGACGTGGTAAGTCAAGAGATTTTGTTTCTGTGCAGCTTTAGAAGACTTAGGCTCTGATGATGGTGCGGGGGGTTCCTTCCTGCTGCTGTAGCTGGCGGGATGCAGCTTGGCAAGCGCATTGGGCGACTGATGTGTGATGGAGCTCTTTGTCTGTAAGAAAATTGCATTGAGATGATAGTTATTGGAAGTAGATTTTCAATTCAATTTATAATAATCACTTGCCAAGTTCCATAACACTTTTCCATTGCCCAGAAATCGCATTTCGGCGTTGGGCTTCTCAAAAGATCTATCAAACAAAGGGCTAGGACGAGAGGTCGAACAATAAATATGTGTAGTTGTTGTGCACCATTTTTGCGAGATAGCACCCCCCCTCCTGGACCGTAAATTCACCTTTGATACTTGTACATAATCTCACTGAGTATCGCTATTGTTAAAGGCGATAAACAAATACCTTAAGATTAACGACACAGACTACGTTCCATGGGGCAGTAGACGATCAACTGGCGTTAAAGTCCACGTAGACAGTAGGTGCAGCAGAGAGAAACTGCTACAGCGATGTTTCCCATTTTGCCAGTTTTATTTGAAAGTGAGAGCGACTTAATACTCACATATGTATGTATGTATGTGTATTATGTAGGCCTTTCGCTCTTTGAAGTGAACGTCTGGAGTTGACCCTTTCTTTCAAGTATGCGTGCCACCACCCTACTGCGCTCACCGTCAGCTGATGTTCTTGTAGCTAAAACTATATTATATGACATTTAAATAAAATGTATTTTCTTTGTTTTGTTTTGTTTTGTTTTGTGGTGGGCATCATCCGACCTTCAGAAATATACCAAAACATATCGTCTAATTTTCAAAATATACCGTAAATATACTGACGAATTCAAGTTATATTTTACATATTCCTCGTTTTTGATCTTCCGTGAAATATTACTAGATATATAGAACTTTCAACCATGTCCACATAATTTAATCCGATTAATAAATCAATTTTCTAATTGACTGGCTTATTTTAACCACTTACTTTTTTTGAATTTTGCGTATAAAGAGGTTTTAGCGAAAATGGACAAAAAAAAAACGAAAGAGGATAGTCGTTCATATTGCTCAGTTTAGAGATTCCGTCGAAAATCATTAGCTAGATAAAACAATTTGCCATGCCCACATATTTTTATACGATTAATAAATCAATTTTCTATTTGACTGGCTTACTTTAAATAATTGCTTTTATTGCATTTTTTTTTTTTTTTTTTGAGTAAAGAGAGGTTTCTCGTCAGAACAGCCTCGGTTTTGTAAGCCGACTTTTGCAAGCCGTTTATGATATCTTTTGCGAGCCGAAAGTTACATACATATGTATGTATATTAAAATAGACGCACTGTTAATTCTATTCGTTTATTATTTTTTATAGTACAATTAAACATAAAAATACAAATTTAATTTCCTAATTATATTATTATTATATTTAAATGAACGCATTAATTTAAAAATATTACTACGGATTGCTGGATTAAGCCGCAAGCTGCAATGCACTTATTGGCCTCTGTGCCACGGCAAGAGCACTGGTGCTGCATGATCTTTAATATGATATTAGAAGTACTTTCGATAGGTAAGGTAATATACCTTTTCGTGTTTTTGCTTTTAGCACCACTTATTAGAACTTTGAACCTTAAGTATCGTCCTGCAAAGCACTGTGGATATGGGCCTAGCAGACAATCTAATGGCTATTGTCTGCGATGGTTGCCCAGCCAATGGGCTAGCCGTTTCAAATGCCAATTGGGATTTTCCAGCTTTGTGGGATTTCCCCCATCTAGATACGATCTAGATTTTTTACGGCAACAAAAAAGCCCCGCCTTGAAAGTGTATATAGTGGATTAGGGACACCGCTTAAAAAAAACGCACCAAAAACTCGACCTCTTGGGTGGTTTGGAATGAGTATATTTCCATAACTAAATAAATCTTAAATATAAAATAAATATATCCTTAAATACGTGTTTCTTGTTTCATTTCATTAGCTGGAAACAGGCTTTCCGGTCCCGCAAGATCTGGGCCACTCAACCTTTAACTGAGCTCCTTTTCTCGCGGCTGGGTATGCAAGTAAGCGAGCTGTCTGTTCCGACGTACACGGATCCCGATGCCTCTCGCGCTCTTCGACTGTTTGAACGTACTATACTCCGCTAAAAACTTGACTGCTGTTTCATCAAGGGGATAGCCAGATGCTAGCAACTTCGCAATAAGAACAGGAGTTGCCTCAGGGAATATATTGGTGGACTTTCGCTTTTCCATAACCATGTAGAAGACGTTTTAGTGTTGCCATCGGGCTTGACTGCTTCCGTGCTTATTTGTTTGGGTTTCGTTTCCTTGTCCGCGTACTTTGCAAAGGCGTAGGTTACCGGAAAAAAGAACTTTCCCATTCTGACAATGGTCGAGAATTAGCCAAAATTGGCCGATGCAAAGCTGTGGGAAGGTGGAGTAGGCTATTGTTAGTTTAAGAATTTAGGCAGATATCATGGTTTTCCACTCACCTTGTTGATGGGAAACTGGGACACGACCTCATCGTGGACATTCTCACAGTTGTCACAGGTGCTACCATCGCAGATCAGAGCCTTGTCGCTGCCCTCGGCTTACCGTTTCAAAATCCAACTGATGTTGCGCCTCTTTTCTACCCAGCAACATATACTGAGAAGAGTTGGGGAACAAAACAGTGTTGCGAGAGTAGAATTTCCATAGGCCACAACGATACTTTGTTATCGCTAGAGGCGCCAATAAATCGTATTCAAACTTAAAAAAGCAGTTCCTTCCACTTTAAATAAAATGTCGCTTTTATTATTAGTATTACATCACTAAAACTAAGACAATTACAATTCTAGAGCAAAACGTACAGTCCTGCTTATTAAATTCTGCTTCAATGCAACATCACAGCTATTTTGAGCAACTAACTGATGTTTATCGTGTAATTTGCTTTAATTCATAGTTAAACTCAAATTATGGTTGTCGCCTCATGGAGGCGACTACGGCTAAGACTAAAATTTCGTATATGTACATAAACAATGCCATACCATACCCCTGTTAATTTTAACAATGGTATCGAAAACTGGCTATTTACATAGGATGTATGGGTTCTGTTCTTCCTGGATAATTTGGACAACGACTATCGTTTTTTTTTGTTTTCTAAAGCTATCACAGTATTAAAACAGCAACTTGGCTTTTATATTATTTACACTAAATAAAATGCTATATAAAACCAAAACAGCGATGTTGATGCCCAATATGCCCGAAATACGACGCTACGATGAACCTAAAACTACCGACAACATAATCTACCAGCCAACTAAAAATCCTAAACGTGTTTCGGGCTTGTTCCCCCAAACTGATGGGGCTGTGCGTAGGGCACCCAGCCTTTCCCATCGCTGCTGTCAAAATTCACATGGGAGCTGGAGCTCTGAATAGAGGAGGGCGAGCTGGCGAATCCGCTGCTGACGAAGCTGACGGCCAACTAAAAGAAGAAAAGAAAGCACTCCGGTTAATTAACATATCAATGTTATCCAACAGCTATGAGATATTCCCGCGCTGGCCCCTCAGAACGTGCCGTGTGCGAAATTGGTCCGCAGATTACGGACTGTCGATGGACCGAAAACGGGTTTGGTCTGCAAACCATCAATTCATTTACGAGTACTGCTGCCGACTGGTTGTCTTAACGTATTTCATTAAACGTGCCAAGAAATTCGTCTATAAACAACAGATTCGAATAATCAACGCCCGCCGCAGACATGTTAGACGGCTTGGCGTCGATTTCCTTACAAGGCGGTGGCTCTCCAGATGAAATGATATAACCGACCAGTGCTGGCATAAGTGCGGCCGCGTTTGCCTATTTAAGACCACTTCTTACACGATTCCCGTACCCGTACCCCCTTAATCAGCAGAAAGCTTCACTCACTTGATGCTTGGCCTCGGCCCCGTCCGCAGTCCTCGCGGCCAGCTCTGAATCCAGAGGATTTTCGTCGAAGCACTCTATGCAGATGTCGTCTTCTTCATTGCAGTGCTCGATTTCTATGCAAGAACTGGATGTCGTGGAGTTGCGGCTCAAGGTGAGAGTATCGCACTCGTTGCCCTCGTCGCTGCTTTCTCCTGCGTCTGACAGGGCCGGCTCCATGTCCAGAGCGTATGCCGACTTGCGACGACGCTCCTGGAAGGCCAAGTCCTCGTCAGTGGATCGTCCGATCACATGCTGCTTGTTGGCACCCGCCGAATTGTCTATCAACTTGAGTTCACAAGGACTGTACACCTGATTGGTGGCACCTCCCGTTAGATTTTGAAGAAGATTCGCTCGGGCGTATTTTCCCTCAGAGATATTGGCTGCCTGGCGGGCATAGCTGGACATGTGGAGGGTGGCCCTCGTAATGGCGTAGCCCAAGAGACCCACGCCCATAATTAGAGCAATCCAAAAGCCCAGAGGATTGACGAGCGGCAAGATATTCAGGTAAAAATTGAATCTCGAGTCCAGTGAGTCCGGCAGACTGGGCATCATCTGAAAAGGACGGAATAGATCAGTCCCGCGCTCCAGATGATACTATAGTATGTATCATACTATAGATATGTGTACTCCGGGTTAGTACTTACAATTTCGAACCAAAGCATCGGTGCGGTCAGGTGGCTGAACCTGGCGACTGTCGGGAAATTGCTCAGATCCTTGAAGTGCATGTTGATCTGAACTTTCACGGACAAAGACAGTGGTAGACCGGATTCCTGAAATTGACAATAACGAAAAGCTAAAATTGTGAGTAAATATATGGTGGGTTCCAAGTACGACACCGTTTCGGCTGCACTTGGCCTAATTTTGGCTAATTGCGCTTAAATGTAGGCCTGGGCATACGGCTACATTCATGTACGATGTGGTAGTTGTCCTTAGTGATTTATCGAATTTTTCGCGAATTTTGCCGTCTGCCGTTGTTGTGTTGTTGCTACTCGTATTCCGTTTTGTTGCTTATGGTTTATTCATTGTATTTTTCATTTCGAAAAACCGGTAAAACTTGAGGCGAAATTGCTATTGACTGACTGATCAATTGATCAAATCTTGCTCTGATTCGATAATATTCCGAGGCGCTAAGAGCTGGACAGCGACTCCAGCTCCGACTCCAACTACTAGTCATCTGGCTGGTGGGTGTGAGACCCAAGGCAAAGGCTCAGTTGGCCATGATATTGAAATTAATCAGGCAATTAACTGTTCCATTGAACATAGGACAGTTGAGCGGAAGCAGTGAGCACTTGTGCACATTCGATGTGTCTGGGATTGCATTGGAATCCATGGTTGGAAGAACATATTACCTATGTTTCGTGGCCTTTAAGCTAGTAGCTACTGCTCTACACCTCCCGCCTGTCTCATATTGACTTCCTGTAGATTCCGCTGAAAAGCGGCTAAATCGTGCCAATCAACCAGTTTTAACGATTACTTAATTAGCCGGAAATGTAAATGCGAGTACATCGTACAGCCTCAAATTGAGTTGAGTTCTCCAATCTGGTCGGAAGAAGAGGAAATCGAAAGATAACGGGCAACAGAATAACGGGGCACCTCAAC